GGCAGCACTATATATTTACTACTCCGTCTCTTAGTCGGCAGTACCTTTATCGAACTTCGCCTAGCTAATGCTACTGCCCTTTAGTCCTACCTATGGCATATTAGGTACCTCGTTATTAATAAAAAGAGTATACTAGGACTTAAGTAGCTCAGGCGAATTAATTCTCGCCTACGACAGGCCTTTCCATAGCATAGCCTCGAGTTCTTTAGTAGTATAAGCATCTTGCTTATAGGCGATTTCTTCTAGCTACTACCTATCTAATAAAAGCCGCTATATTTAACCGCTAGCACTAGCCTGTCTTTATTAGAAAAGAGAGGATAGGTAGCCTACTAGTTATTTAACCGCACTATCTTCCTAACTACGGTATAGCGCTAGACTAGTGATAATTAGGCCCGGTTCCGTTAGGCATTATAAGAACTACGTAAAGTCAAGTTATCTATACCCTCCTAGAACCTCCTCAGTAGTCGAGTGCAGGCCAAGCTAACGCAGAGCGAGGTTAATAGATTTAAGGCCGCTATGCGGGTATATTCCATAAAGGCCCGGGTCAATGAATATAATTACGAGCATATAATGCACCTTAACGCCCCGGCAATATAAGTAGAGGCAAAGAACCTAGGTAAAGGCGCGAGGTAGGCGCTAAGTAACCATACTAGTAATCTATCCAATAAGTTTATTATTACTAGAGGTGCTAGGGTAATACTCATAACTAATTTATAGCAACCAGCTAGCCTAGTTAATAGCGCCTAGGGTATAATATATAATATCGCTTAGAATAAAGGCGCTAACCCATAGTAAGATCCCCTGGATATTATTATAATAGACTTTAATAACTACGACAGACCGCTATATCTAATAACTAACGAGGGCAAGAAAATTATACCTATCCTTCCTATTACGCATAATTTCCTAATAGGTAATAAGACCTACTCTCGCACCTAGTTTCCCCTAATCATAGTATTTACTATTACTATTCATAAATACTAGAGCCTAACGAAGGATCAGATAGTTACTAACCTCGCTATACGCGACTTCTAGGCCGGTATTAGTTATATTATAGTATCATAAGTTACCTCATTATAAGGCCTACTCCTCGAGGCGCCTTTTGACCGTTAGAACCTCTATAATTATACGCCCACGGAAGGTTTATATGCCTGCGTTTCCTATGTACTACAATTATAGCTAACTACAATATAGGGATAAAGATACGCCTTACTAACCAACGACGCCGTTAGGCTTAGCAGCTAATTAATCCGCCATATCCACCACGGTATATTAACTAAACGACGTTTTCCTATAAGCTATAGGGAAAGGGGAACTCGATATATAATATATAGTTAATTAGGCCTAGAAGGAAGTAGTAGAGGGACCCCTATGTCTATCAGTTAACTCCCTTACTATAGGTTTAAAGTAGTTCTAATAGCTGGTTATCGCTATAATCGAAAGGGGGCCTCCCAGAAGAGTTTAATAGTAGGTAGACGGTATTTACCCTTCGGGCTAAATATTCAGCCATTAAGCCCCTTGCCTTAGCAACTTAACGGGTATTCGAAGTATTTTACTAATTGTATTCGCTGTCTGAGTTTGTTATGGCCTCGTTTCCTTATACAGAGGTCAACGTCGCCTTGGCCTTTATCTACCCAAGCATTTACAAGGTCGACGGATGGGGATCCTGGAATCGAGTGAGCAAGGCAGAACCAGTGGATGATAAATACTCAAACGTACCACAATGATAGTGTATTTGTCAATTAGTACGCTACCGTCCTCTGCTTTGCGGAAGTGCATGCGGGCGGCCCAGGTGAAAGTGGACTTCACGCCATCCAGGGACACATTGTTGCTTCGCCCGTGCATCATCACCTCATCAGAGTTGGCACCGAATGGAAAGACCTTATAAACGGTATGATCACGACTCTGAACAACAGCCCAGGACTTAGTGACAAGTTCGACCAAGTCTAGTCCAGCTATGTCAGTGAGGAGCACCGTAGTCACGGTTTGAGTATTACCCACTCTCTCTGCACTTGACGTTGGTCGCGCCTTTCTTCAACTCAGCGTCATCGGTGAAGTGTGAACCCCATCTTTCAAGCTCTTTGTTATCCACAGCGTAGTATAGGCTTGCGATATGCGCTTTGATAGCTGGGTCAAGGACACTGTCGTCACTGTCAAAAGTCTTGGGACTTGGCGCCATGTTGCAGATTGCTAGCCAGGTCAGAACACTGGAAAATGTTTGGTGAGCGGTCAATGAAGGTCGAGGTTGAAATGTGAGTCTGACGGACGCGATGATGCTCACTTGACTTAACGTACGGACAGTTAAGAAGGGCTTTCCCTTTTTCAAAACCCTCTTATCTTCATACCAGACTGCGAGAATAACTAATCTTCTTCCCCGCGTGAGTGTGGGTCTCCTCGGACTTAAAGTGCGATCTAATAGACGACGACTCTTCGGCCTTAGAATCCGATGCAGGTAGCTGGCTCGTTATCAATCACCCTCCATGTCTGATAGATCCTTCGACAGGACAGATGACCCACTGCTCCGTAGAGCTAACGTATTTAGGTATTAGCCTCCTAAATGGAGCGTGTAATTTAGTAAATTATTTTAAGCGGTTCTTGGTACACTAGACAGCATAAGATGCTGCTTTCGAGAGGTCTAGATTTCAAGATACTTCTAAATATCAGGTGAATTTCGTTCAGTCTAATTTTCAATCAATAATCATCGGGGAAAAAACAGGAATAGTATTGCCATCTTTTGTCGTTCTCCGAGCTCAGGTAACCCATCAAGGGCCGGGCTGCAACTATAAAAACGAACAAATTTTCAATAGATCATAACATCATGACCCGATGTTGACACAGTGGCCTTTTTCAAACTTCTGCAACAGCAAAATTTCATCTTTTCTCATCGCTTTGGGGTCACGCCGATATCACTCGGCAGTCAAGGGCTTCCTCCCATAGACAAAATATCTGACACAAGAGGCATCATCAGTAAAGCTGCCGCTGGAAGTGGGGGAGATTAAGCGCTGGATCAGTTCAAACACTTACATCGGCCAGTAAGCATATATCTTAGGATTCTCCATGTCCTTCCTGGTATGTGCACAAAACACACGTGTCTCCTCAGGCGTCCAACCCAGGCCGCGTGTGAAGTAGGCGAGAGAAAGACCGTCAAGTCCACCAGCAATATTGGCACGCGTCCAGTTACCCAACTCTTTGAAATGTTTATCACGAGGCCAGGCGTTTGTTGGCCATTTGCGTTACACCTCAACAATACCCTCAAAGCCGGCGGCTGCGAGGTAGTTCTTGTACTCGGTGGTGGGGAATACGGGGCGTCCGAGATTCTGGCCAGCTTCAAAACAGCACCTGCACCACTGGGATAGGTAGCTATCGGGCTATAGGGTATCGTCGTCGGAACGCGCAGGGAGGCTCATGTCTTGGAGCTCGAGGTAGCCGCCCGGCTCGAGGTTGTCGAATGCTACCTTGATGATTTGCGGGAAATCCTAGAAGCAGCCGAGCATCATTCGAGCAAAAATGAAATCAAACTTTTTCGTCCAGGTCCACTCCTTTTCGAGGTCATCGATCTCGAAGATAAGATTTGGGGGAACACTAGCAGTACCGATGTTGTATTAGTATCGAATTCCTTGGTTAAACAACGGTATTTAGACGCACAACGATGGCTAAATTGGGCTCAGATCAACACCAATCACCTTTAGCAGTTAGCATATGCATAAGTCAAAGTAACATATCAACGTTGAAGAGGGGTAGAGTATCAAACCTCAGCTTCGGGATTCGCATCCGCTTTAAATCCATGTCAGTACGTTACATCCGCGCATAGATAATGCACAGAAGCCAAGGTTACTTGCCATAGTCAATGGCCCATGATCCAGTGCCAGTGCCTATATCTAGAACTCGTTTCGCGTCTCTAGCTTTTGGACAGAGTGCGAGCTCCCCGTGTAAGGTGCGGACGTAGAGCTCGTGCTGGAGGTCTACCATCGATATCAGCATGCGTTATGCATTATATGTATACGTCTACCATCTATGCCTACCGAGTCTATCGTTTTCTGCCTACAGTGGAGGATCATTTATTAATAGCGACTCAGTCGAGAAATACCACGGTCATTTCCAAGGGTGGGTTCAACTAACGTCGTCGTTGGGAAGGACGTATTCTAACTTGTGTGTTAGTCTCCTACGCCAACATCGAGAGCCATTTACTTACTGCCGCTACTAAGGGCATGATAACGTCGGCCGTTTTCTTCTCGATATGCCATGATGCTCGACGAGAGGGACACGTGGGACTGGTCAGACTCCTATAAATACCGGTAAATAAACCATCCTCAGCCTTTACCAGACTAGCGTCGGCGTCAAAGAATACGCCGGCTACGCTAGAGAGGAAATCGGAGTCGCACCTCGCCCAGGGTTGAGTCATTGTCGGCGGCCTGTGGTGGTCTCCAGTTAGGTACTATTCCAGCACAACAAAACTAGGTAGGATTAGGATGCACGGCATACAATGGCATCCTCTATCTCTATGGTTGGCTCAACATGGTGCTCGCTGCCTCCTTGGGAGCTGGGGCTCCGCTCTGGCGATGGTGTCGCAGGCATTGTGGATGACTGACTTCCAGGTGTTGTTTCGTGACGCGACGGAGAATCAATATGAAATAGCGCAAAGGATTCGGCAAAAAATAAGAAAGCGGGGAAATTTTGTGCCAAGCACAAGTCGTGTCAGTTATCTGCCGGTTCGTGGCGCAGCTAGGGACTGATTCCGGGTCCCCGAATTCCAATCATTGGTGCGTTATTCGTGATTACTAGGTTGCAATGGAGGGAGACGCGCCCACGCCGCCGAGGTCCGTGGCTAATAGCTTAGCTGGTGCTCCTGAGGAATTTCCCCCTTCACTCCCACATTTCACTGCGCAGATAAGTTACCAAGTTGGACACGATGAGCGCTGGCCAAGGTTTGTCGCCAGGCCTGCTGCGGGAGGCATTTGTTGCCCTCAGCCCCGGGACCGTGATTCTCACAGCCGTCATCGGCTTGGTGGTGCTGTTCTTAGCCGATTCGCTTCGGACGTAGTACCGTTTGTCACACATTCCTGGTCCGTTCTGGGCCGGTTTCTCCAAGGCTTAGATGGTGAGACAGTCACTCAAGGGAACACAGCCTTACGCCATCCAAGCGGCCAATAAAAAATATGGTGAGTGGTATCCTCAACTACTGTAGTTAATCTACGAGACTCAGTGGTTCAACTGCAGGGTCGCTTGTGCGCATTGGCCCCAATGAGCTGGCAACCGATGATCCCAAACTACTGCGTCGGATGATGGCCAGTCGCTCGCCGTATTCGAGAGGGCCTTGTGAGTAACAACCCTTCATCACTGATGTTGTTTGGGGCCATTTGCCTACCGAGTATACAGGGTACAACGCACTCCGTTTCGAGCCTGGCAAAGACAACTTGTTCTCGATGCGTGATGATAATGCTCATGCAAAATTGCGTAACAAGATGGCAGCCGGCGTAAGTTCAACCTCATTGTCTTGCCAGTGTCTATATGATCTATCGGAAGGCTCTTCCTACATATCCCACATGTATGTGATACAATCAAATGGCTAAGCTCTGTACAGTACTCAGGCAAGGAGAACGAGTCACTAGAGCGCACAGTTGACACCCACATTGCACGACTTATCGACCTCATAGAAACCAAGTATCTCTCAACGTCTCGAGACTACCGCCCGACAGACTTTGCTCAGAAGATTCAATATTTCACCCTTGACGTTATCAGCGATCTAGCTTTTGGCCAGCCGTTCGGTTACGTGGATCAAGATGACGACGTCTTCGACTTTATCAAGATTACACGCTCTTTCTTCCCAGTCACTCTCGTCATAGCCAACATACCCTCATTAGTTTCCCTCCTACACTCGCGTCTTTTCCGGGGTCTTTTGCCCAAAGAGAGCGACAAGTTTGGTTTCGGGGCATTCATTGGGTGAGTTCCCAGTCAGTTATGCTATCGCCGTGCAGGCAAAATCCTTACAATCACCCAGCGTGGCGAACAAAAAGGTTGCAGAGCGATTCGCGCCAAACGCTACACAGCACTCAGATATGCTCGGATCCTTCATCCGTCATGGTCTCACCCAGGAAGAAGCGTCTAGGGAATCACTGCTTAATGTTATCGCCGGAAGCGACACCTCGGCAACCACTATCCGCGTCATCATGCTGAGCCTGCTCAGCAACCCAGTGGCCTACAGAAACCTACAGAAGGAAATTGACGATGCCATCAAGGCTGGGAAAATATCCTCACCCGTTACCGACGCCGAAGCGCGCAAACTCCCCTATCTCCAGGCTGCTATACAAGAAGGGCTGCGGATGAAGGCGCCCGCAGCCGGTCCTCTCTTCAAAACGGTGCCCAAGCAAGGTGATACCATCGATGGCAAGTTCATCCCTGGAGGAACGCAGATTAGCACTTCTCCGTTTAGCATCTACCATTCTAAAAAGATATTCGGCAACGACGCGGCTCTATTTGTACCGGAACGCTGGCTGGAAGCAGAACCAGAACAGGTCGAAGGCATGTCTGAGGTGGTGAACCTCGTCTTCTCCAGCGGAAAATACCAGTATCTCGGCAAGCCAGTAGCACTCATAGAACTAAACAAGATTTTCGTTGAGGTGAGTGCATATCGATCTATTCACGAGGCCTAACCAGACTGACATAGCTGCAATAGCTTTTGAGACGTTTTGATTTTGCCATGGTGCATCCCGAAAGACCTCTGCATATCATAAACGCGGTGAGTAATGCGCCCTCCTGGCTTGTGCTATGATGAGCTAAGAGTTATTGCAGGGTATTTGGCTTATTGAAGATTTTCCCCTGCGCATTTCACGACGGGACAGTAGTCCCGACGCTTGATTTCATCATATTCAAACGGGCTGGGCTAGACTCAATATATTTGTAGCAAAGTCTTGCCCAGGATTTATAGACGGGGGCAGACGGGACGGTATGTCGAGTGGTAACAACATCACAACTGCTAAATTCGATCATGGGCCTAGTGAAGCGGCTGTGGTGGACCGGGATATCTTTGGCGACGTCACTTAGGGCAAAGCCATCTGGTAGTCTGAATTATTAATGGAAAATCAATGGACTACGGATCTTCACTGTCTCGCCCCCTAGTATACTACCTACAGGACGCGATTGACCTTCCATCCGCCTGGAATGCGGTATTGAAAGAAGCCGGTCGGATCATATCTCTGAGCCGTCTTCTTCAGGAACATTACATTTTCCCAGCCGTACGACCCAATGACATCTTGTTCGGGGTTGGCGTAGTTCATGTAGAGATAGTCAGAATGGCCATCCTTCGATGCCGAGTACGCTCCCAACTCCCCGATCGCCTGGGCCATCTTGGCTCGCACAAGACCTTCATACGAGGCATCGTCAGCGGCCAGCGTACCTCTAGCCTCGAAGAGAATTGAATCAGCCGGCAGGTTCTTGTCAAGGTCCAGGAGGTTGTTGCCAGGAATAACGGAAGCGAGGTTCTTTGGTAGAGGCTGGAAGACAAAGTTGACAGACACTGGAATGTCTGCGTCGCGCAGATCTTGCGTCAGAGCGACAAAGATATCAGCAGCCTTGTTCATCATATCGGTGGTAGCTTAGAGGCTAAGAGTAAAGGGGATGTAGTTCGAGCCACCAGTATCCGCGATAGATGCGGCGACGCTACTGAGGGGCTGCTTCTTCCTGAGGTCTCTAGTAAGGGGGATGGTGCTGAAGGCTCGAAAGGTGGGAGAGTCATCATTTCCGTCAGTGCTGACCGCCATGGCCATGAGGGAGAGATTGCCCGCATCGGCTCGATAGACGACAAACTGATGGTCAGGGTTGCCTGAGCCTATGGAGCTGGCGTACTCGACGAACTGCTTAGTGACGACGTTCAAGTGGTCCCATGAGGTGAAAAGCAGGCCGCCGTAAACACCAGAGGGAGGAGTAGTGAAGGTCCGCATGTCAAAACGAGTGACTATACCCAGGTTGCTGCCGCCACCCTTCAAAGCCTTGAAAAGGTCCTGGTTATGCCTCGCATTCGCTTCAACGACGGATCCATCGGCCAGGACGACCTCGTAGTTAACGACGTTGTCGCATGACAGACCCCAGAGTTGGGTGTGGTACGAAGCACCTCCCGAGACGAGCAGGCCACCTACGCCCACATGACCGGAACGGCCGCCTGTAACTCCCAGGTTGTGATTCTCAAGGTAAGTCATGACTTCGCCCCATCGAGCTCCTAGGCGGATCTGGGCGATTGACTTGACAAAGGTGTCAGTTACTGTCTCTTTCAACGCAGCAGTGTGACGCTTACCTTGGTCAGTGTACTCTTGCCCTTCCACTTAACACTATCACGCTTGACAAGATCTATCGAGTTGAAGAAGGTAAGGTCGATGGTGACACCTCGATGGACGGCATTGTTGTCGAAGTCGCTGTGACCACCGGATCGGACGGCGATGTCCCAGTTGCCGGCGCCGCTGGCTCGGCTCAGAGCCCTGACCGCTTCGGAGACGTGGTCGGTTGAGCGAGGCTGCACAATGCAGACTGGCCGAAGGCGGCGATTCTCAGATGCATAGTAGGTCGAGACGCTGTCGACGTATGCGACGTCCTCTGGGAAGACCAGGATATCTTCGAGACCGGCATCGAGAAGGGCATCGCACTATTCATTCTTAATCAACAATTGAATAGAAGGAAATGTGTGGTTAATAAGAAAGAGGAGGGGGACAAGAATGATAGACAAGGAAGCCATACACCTTTGAAGCCGGTTGAGGTGGTGTTGTACTGCTGAGCAACAACACGAGCAGACAATCCCAACGACACCAAGACCGGAACAGACTTAATGAGCATGGTAGAAACAACACACACAAATAAAGGAGTGACTTGGTAAAAAACTCAAAAACCAAAAACGAGTATCGGAGAGAGAGCTAAACTGCAGACAGCTCTAGAAACAAGGCTTGCAGAAGACACAACAACCCTTTAATGATTCCCAAGCCATCCACAGCGGGAATCTAAAGCTGCCGTGCCGGTGGCGACTGGGCCGGCGGGACAGAAAGCCCCACCAATAGTATGCATATTCGTGATCAAGGGCCTATAAGTCTATCACTTCTCACAGCTTAGGGAACCTCTTCCGGATTTTACACTCATTTCCCGCGAGTAAGTAAAGCAGTATATGTACCCATATCACACCAGGATATGCCACGCTAGTTTAGGGGAGTTCCAGCGCTATACGACGTTTGGCTATTACGGCCTTGTCTAATAACGTTATGCAATTAGCTACACCTTGCAGCAGCTAATATCCGAGTATCAATTCTCGGCTGCCTCCGCCCTACAACCCACAAGGATCTATTAATCTTAAAAGGTGGGAACAATTCTACCGCGCTACAATAAACCAGCCATAGAGATAAGTGCCCTGACTGACAAATTGCTTTACAGGGTGCTCGCTACGCCGCAGGAGTGCTATATGCCAAAACGGACAGACCCCTTCGGGTTGTACTCGGTACGGAGAAGACTTGTTCGTGTTGGTAGGTCCCCTGCCGTCGCATAAGTAGCGATATAACATGTGAGACAGCCAACACGCCTCCTACTGACTTAAGGATAGTCGAAACTCCGGGGGATGGCTGCCACGCAATCATAACTTAATATCTCTCCCCACGAGAGAAACCACGATTCGCGAGCAACAATCGTCGTCTCAATGATACTTAAATAGGGCTGCGTGGTTCAAATAGGCGGTATCTATCGATCAATCGACGAGATAGCCCATGATAGGGATGATCTTTCGGTGCTTATACACGCAACGACATGGGCAGTGAGTTTTCCCACCGACCGTCTCGGATCCCATACGTCGCCAGATACTAGAACACTGACTCCTCCCTTGTTCATAGCAACTCTTCGTGTCGACCATCTTCATAGGACTCCGAGGCTACAGCCGACTTCGAAAAGTCGGTATCGGACTCCAGGCGGACGACTGGATTCTCCTCGCCGGGTAGACCTTTCTTCTCCTGGCCTCGGCCTGCTTGTCTTGGCTAATGGTGGTCTTCTTAATCCCAGGCAGCTTGACAAAGATCACTATCGCTCGAACCCATCACAATCTGCAGTCTCTCGCCCTGGGACTGACCAAGACGTCTTTTGGAATCACGCTGTTGCGTTTAATGCCCGGGGGCTAGGAGGCAAAACTCATCTAGGGGCTTATCATCTCCATAAACCTGCAGTTCGCCGTGCACATAATCGCTACATGGCAGGCCATCTGTGGTGCTCCCGACCAGGGACATATCGGAGGGGATAACTGCTGGAAATTGAGCCAGTCTGTCACTTTTACCGTCTTTAGCGCTCGTGAGTTCGCCCTCTTTTATCCAGGATTACCGTGGAATATCCCTGATGTGGTTTCACGGCGACAGTGTATTCTGCCCTCTGCGACTTCATTCTAGCCCTGCTGCCGTGGAGGATGATATTCAATCTGCAAATAAAAAGGAACGAGAGAATCGGTATAGCCCTCGCGTTGAGCATAGGTGTCCTCGCTGGGATCACGGGCGTGATAAAAGCCGTCCAGGGGTATATGCTGATCGACGTGCGATCTCCCGACTGTAAGACGCTTCTCGAACCTTGCGACACAAACCACATCCATACTAACGCTTCTGCTCGCCTATAGACCTAAATACCCAAGCGGTCTACTGGATATGGTCCATAGCCGAGCCCAAAGTCACCATCGTTTCCGCGTCCATCCCCGTCCTCCGTGGCTTCATCCGCAACGTCCGAACGCGCACCGATTCGACGCCGAGAGCTAGTACATATCTCAAGACGGGCGACAACAGCACTGGGAGATTCTATAACCGCACCGTCACGGCAGGGCGAGCCCACCCGGAAGACCAAGACGGCGCAAGCGACAGCAGCATTCTGGGACGGAGCCCTCAGGATAGAGATGGCGGCAGCGGAGGGGGCATCACTTAGACAACTGAAATTAGCGTCGAGTATAAGCCCAGGCCTCAGGCAGAGAATGCGACGAAGGATATGCGCGGGAATATAGAAGTGATTAAGATGGATAATATTTGCCGATGATACTATCGACCGACAGAGAAGGTAATAGAGAAGTGAAGAAAAACTTTTAATGAGTAAATGCCACATATAAATCACGGGCATCTTAGCCTAGGGAATCAAAACTTTAGATCAATTATCACAAGATATTGTTTCGCAGGGCATAACAAGCCGGTCGTGCTGGCTTGACGTTGGCAAATAGTGCTTCCCGCTCTTCACTTTCCGTCAAGCAGTCGGCTACCAGGGCGATAGACAAATATGCAATACTATCGATCAGTCAAAGATAACTACCATCTCATTTAAGGCATCTTACGGGAAAGCTAGTTTTTTACCAGAATTCAATTATTTAAAGATAATTGCCAATCCTGATCGGTGTCACTTATAAAGCGTAGAGTTTGCCCTGAGAAATCTGGCCTTTGGTTAGGGATGGTTACTAACAGCAGTCTAGCAAAGATGACGACGCCAACTTCTAGGCTTCAGCTATCAGTCAAGAGCTACTTGAGTCAGGTTCCTCGGAGATTTACCACGCACTGCCCAACCACGCATCAGTGCCTTCAAGTTCCACCCCACCAAGTTTGCAGTGAAGGACCAAGGTGGTTCTATTAATCTTTGACGAAATGGGTCTTAGGGGTGCTAAAAAGTTGGCCGGGGGCGGAATTTCTTGATGAGTGCGGAATCACCTCGCCCTTTGGTATTGGGGGAGGGGAGACGCTTTTGACTGCCGGGGTCAGGCACAACTCTTTGTTCGCCCGGAACCCGGAAGCTTATAGCGGTCGAGACTATGAAAGGTAAAATCCAAACATTCAAACCTAGTTTAGCTTACGAACGTCGATGATGCCAAGGTTTGATTCCACGCGAGACGCCACGCCGGTACCGTCGAACCGGCGCGTGAAATTTAATCTCCCACGGTTTACGCCGTCCCGCCACGAGACGGTAACTTACGGGTGGCCGTTTCTGTTATTTCTTTAGCGCTGTCTCAACTAAGAATTTCGCTACGTTAAACAGACAAACTATATGTGGCTCGAAGCACATCTGCGGAGGAGATAATAGCCAACCTCTTGTGTGAATATGGCTGCCTACCCTAAAGAAGTGACTCTGCATGGGATTGCCCTGTTGTCGCTTAGATGATCTGCATATCCCTGCAGATGAGAGGCAAGGGACAGCAATTGAGAAATGGGCATGTAACCAACTCAGACGCTCGGAGGGAGAAGAGCCGAGATGAACCTAGGCGACACATCGGAAAGCTCGACGCTCTGATCGCGATCCCAGGACCGATCAACTTACATAGCGATCGGGCTAGGGGCGTTACAGCATCTGCCGACGGGATGGCAGACGCTAATGTAAGGGGCCTGAGCTTTGGCGCGGTTCGTCATTTGACAGTTGTCAAGTGGGATCTTCCCAAGGGCACCAAAGTTTAATGTCTCAGCCGGTCTAGCTTGGCGCTACGCGGTGATAGTCTGCCGTAGCTTCGTCATACTATCTCTCCCCTGGGTGTTGCCGTGTTAGGCCGTTGACTTTTGTCTTAAAACTCGTCGCTGCCAACGTTTCTGGGCTTTGCAAGTCAAGTCATCTCTCCCAGCCATATACTCAATCGTTACTGAGAACCCCGAGAACAACGGCCAGATCCCGGCCCGGTCAGACAGTCTGCAATCACACTCTATGCCTCGGAAGATGACTCCCGGACTAGTTGAGAATACTCCGACGGGAGCGCATTGCCCAAGGCCAGTGTCAACCAAGCGAAGGTTTATCTGCCCAAAAGTCAATCGACGGCGACTAAGCTAATAGGCATAGCTTCTACCAAGATGACTCATAGTCCGTGCGTGACGGCATGGTTTATCCCCGAGAAATCGACACTGCCTCGACGGCCTCGAGGAGCGCACTATCCTACCGCACCCATGACTCTCCGTGGTCCCAGCGAGACGCATCGTCCATCTCATCGATATACATACCCACCACGCTGCCCGCGCTCCAGACTAAGGGTGGCATAGACAATGACAGGCTCGAGCCATTGCGCGAGGAAGAATATGACCCCGCCTCCTTTGATCTTATTGTGCCAGCACACGCACTAGGCAAGCAGTACACCCTCGAAACACAATCCGAGCTACTCTTCTCCATCAAGCACCTCAAGGTGATATTTAAGGATCCTTTACTGCTCCAACGATTCTCAAACTTCCTTTCCTCGTCGCGGCCAGACTCGTTGCCTCTATTGGCCTACTACTTGGACACCCTCAAGGCGCTCAAAGCCATTGACTACGCCAATGCTCTGACGGGCTCACTCAAGACCATAAACGGGCTTCAATTCACCCAAGATCCTGTCACCAGCACCATCAACAATGCGCTACGCAAGAGGGCTAACGATACCTTCGAGGTCATAGCCAACCACGACCTGCCTGCCTACATCACGCATACATTCATCCAGACAGTCAGTGTGACCATAAAGCGGAGAATAACAGACACGCTATCGCCGCAATTAAGGGACATATCAGAAGGACTTACCGAAGTTTTCTATTTATCTGACCCATCACGACCCGACAACCCCATCGTCTTTGCAAGTGAAGGTAAGCAGACAATCCGACCTCGTTTACCACATAGCTAACATGGATGCGAAACAGAGTTCCACAGAACGACCCAGTACGGCATGAACTATGCCATCGGTCGGAACTATCGCTTCCTCCAGGGCCCCAAAACCAACCCTTTTAGTATACGGAGGATCCGAGAGAAGCTCGAAGCCGGCAAGGAACACTGCGAGACATTCCTCAACTACCGCCGCGACGGCTCCCCTTTTATAAACCTGCTCATAGTGGCTCCGTTATATGATTCTAGGGGTATCGTGCGCTACCACCTGGGCGCACAAGTCGATGTGTCTGGTCTTGTCAAGGAATGCTCAGGCTTGGACTCGCTTTCGAGACTCATGCAGCGGGAGAACCCTGAGCAGTACCCAGGTGAGGCGCCCGTTCAACATCACTCAGACCACAACAAGGACGAATTCCGTGAGCTGGCTGAGATGTTTGATCTCTCCGAGCTCAAGACAGTACGAGAGTCGGGTAGTGCTCTACACCGCATACACCAGGAGGAGGTGAAGAACTCGGACACCATGCCAGCCAACTAGAACAGGCCGAGGTTGGTCATCTCTGACGACGCCTCAATCAACCGGCGGCCATCAGATCCGATTCTTCATGAGTCGGTCAACACATACCGGGGCGGACGCCTCAGCGGTATCTTCCAGCACTATCTGCTCGTCCGACCATACCCAAACCTACGTATCCTCTTCGCATCGCCATCACTACGTATTCCCGGCATGCTACAAAGCCCGCTCCTGTCGCGCATCGGAGGTTCTGACCGCGTTCGGGACACCCTCTCTCATGCTTTTGCCGATAGCCACGGCATAACTGCCAAGATCCGCTGGCTATCACGGTCAGACATGCAAGCCCAAAGCCACCACTCGCGCGTCATGAACCATGAGAGCCATAGCGAGGGCGGTGGTCAACCTCCACCAGCGTCTCGAGGCCGTAGCCGCTAGATTCATTTTACACCACTGCTAGGCTCCAACGGCGCGATCGGTGTCTGGATGGTTGTTCTGGTCGATGATGACTCTGAGCCCTCTCCAAGAAACACACCCTCCATGGCCACCAAAACTCAGCACGAACCTTATCACTCGTAGAGTCGCTGGTCAAAAGATGCGCCAAGCGAGGCTTCAAGTGCTATAAGAGTCTAAAGACATGTCTTCACAGCACAGCTAAAGATCACAGAAACATTCGCATGCATCTTCCTTAGGCTCGACAGATGCGTCTTTGGAACGGAAACGCTTACCACAGAGTAGAACCTAAAGGACTAGTCCACATAAACGAACGTCTTCACCTAGGTTTTACTGAACAAAGTAAACTGCACGGGAGCAGCACAAACTGAGACACGGGCCATCTATCACGCGCTATGTATGACGTGAGGTGGGATCTAAATCATATTCCGGACAATATGCAAGCCGGCCAATATGCGCAGCTTTTGAGTGGACAGCAGCCAGTCGCCATTCGCACAGCACCTATGGACGCACTGATGGCCGACGCGGGAGCCTACGGGAAGTGTGATAAGAACAAGGAAGCGCTCAAACGTCTCGAGGCTATCTTGCTGAGCCGCGATGACGGCGTCGAGTCTCATACCCAGGCGTTAGACCTGATATATAACTGGAACTTTGCGCGCTTTGACGGCGGAGACCAGTATCACGCAGCAGCCGGTTGGGACAAGGCGGTGGGTGAGAAACCAGCACTGCTCAATGGGGAACGAAGGGGTCTCGTTGAGCTGAACCGATACTGCCGGCTTAGAGATGCGTAGAGGAGACGACTGAAAGCAAAGAGGCTTACGGTCTCCTCCAACTGGTGGGTTGCCGTTACAAGAGCCCGGAAGGACGCGGGAATTAGCCCCGAGCTTGACCGTTGGGTCGAGAAGATTTGGACGTTGACGAAGACGGTAAAAGACTTATATCAAATCATCAGAGCAAGTCTGGCAATGATCTTCAGCATCTGGACAAAGTCAATGACTTTGAATGCGGTGTCCATCCCCCATTTGCACGACATCGACACCCAACTCTTCTTATCAGAGGAGTGCGCTCGGGCTGGGAGGTCGACTACCTTCTAGCCTTACTGGTGCGTCTTGATTGCTAAGTCTTGGAGCGAGTCACTGTGAAAGATGATACACGGTGGGCTCTATTCTTTACTAATGTAATTCACTCCAAGCTACCCAGGTGGACTCAGATCTACCAAGAATGTCCTGCGCGAGTTTGTACTTCTTTGCGGCCGCCGCCAGGGCAGTGATGATGGTCATCGCGACGAACCAAGCCAACTCGACGAACGAGGTTTCATACATGGGCGAGCAGCGAATCGTCTCGTGCCGATCCAGAAGCAACGCCGCGCGCCACTGGGGAATCCAGCAACCGCCAGCCCGTCGGTCATGGCGACTTTGGTCCAGCACAGTACAGCAAGGGTTTATCCAACTACCAAACGATCTTTGGGCTCAGTTAACACATCAAGGGCCGGGCTGCAACTATAATAAAGAACAGATCTTCAACACATTATAACATCATGACCCGATGTTAACACAGTGGCCAACTGCGAAACAATATTTGACAAACCCTCGTTACCGAGCTCTCGTTCGTCTCGATCAGGACAGTCCTTAGCCATTCAGCAGTCCTGCGCCTAGTCTTTGGTCATGACGATTCTGGATTTGGCTGGAGATATATATACGAACTTGCTCCCACAGTTTCGCGTGCATTGTTCTGACTCATTGTTCCACTACGAACGCTAAGATCGACCCTCGATACCTGCCGAAAATGTCTGACGGTCTGGCTTCCTCGTCCAAGATGGTCGACTACGCCTTGTTCATTGGCGACCAGCAAGGTGATCAACCCGAGGAGAATGTATCAGCAACACAAACCAGAGCGTTAGAACCTTTAATATCATCAATCACTCCTAGAAAAACCCTGGGCCTCCTCTACTCTAACTTAGACTTTAGACTAGCAGCACCGGATGCCCCCGAAGGCGGAAGACTTGTCCAAAAGGGGTAATACTCGGACTCTGCGAGTCAAAGGCCCGGTGGCGTCGACTGTCCCCCGTGCTTCCCCAGAAAATCGGTGCGGAGACTACAAAGTCACCCCATGGGGATCCTACCTCTCACGACCTGGACTTAATTGTCTCAACCGATCAGCTGCTTTGTCGATGCTTGGCCAAGGGGACATATCGGCCCGACAAACTTAATTATTCTAGGTGCTCGGGTAACCTACTGTAACTTAGCTCCTGCAATCCAGACTTTTCCTCGATGCCTCCGTCCGAATAATTCCCCTTCGGCTCTGTGGCGAAATTATCTTCCCATTAGGCGACTAGGCAAAACAACGTCATTTGGAGACACCACGTTGATCGCCTTCACTTTCATTGACCACCAATTCCTATATATGTGTTCCCCAGATCATCGAAAATAGTCTTCTCCAGATCGACACTACCCGCCTCGATTTGAATTCGAACCTTTCTTCACATTGAACTAAATTACCCGACACCACTCCCCTACACGATGGAGAAGCATGATTCGCACTCGGTCAACCAAATTGAGCTCGAGACGACCTTGACCGAAGTCGCCAAGGTAGCGACAATCCATAACACCAAACTCCAGAAGGCTACTTTGGAAGGCACTGCCGATGAACACGAACTCAGCATTCATGATGCCATCCGAGCTTATCCCCAGGCCATCATATGGGCGCTTGTGTCGTCTACCTGTGTCATCATGGAAGGCTACGACACGAACCTCCTTTCCAATTTCTTTGCCTATTGTAAGTACTATCTCAAACGTGAATATTCAAACTGGTTGCTGACTGCTATGCGAACTCTAGCCTCGTTCTTAATTAGGTACGGCCGATTCGTGGGAGTTACTCCAGAGACCCCAACGGGATACCAGTTGACCCCGGCTTGGCAAGCCGGACTATCTCAGGGCGCAGGAGTCGGCTCTATATTTGGCTGCCTGATGTGTGGCTACTTCGTGTCCAAGTACGGCTCTCGACGGGTGCAGCTAGCTGCTCTGGCTGCCCTCACTGCCTTCATCTTTATCGTCTTCTTTGCCCCCAACTTGCCCACGTTGGTTGTTGGCGAGATCCTCTGCGGTGTCCCATGGGGCATTCTCGCCACAACGGCTCCGGCCTACACTTCGGAAGTTCTACCACCAGTTCTCCGGACCTACATGACTTCATATACGAATATGTGCTTCATCATGGGCCAGCTGATTTCTGCTGGTGTTCTCAAAGGACTCTCCACGCGCACTGATGAATGGGGCTACAAAGTTCCCTTTGCCTTGCAATGGGTCTGGCCCGTGTTTCTCATTCCTCTCATCTAGATGTCGCCCGAATCTCCCTAGTATCTAGTCAGAATGGGCAGGCTGCACGAAGCCGAAGAGTCTCTGCGCCGCCTACAGTCGCCAAAGGCCACCAACGTCGATCCTCAGAAGACGCTCTCCACCATCATTTACACCAATAACCTCGAGGAGCAGTTAAAGGTCGGAACTAGCTACTGGGACTGCTTCAAGGGCTTTGAGCTCCGCCGTACCGAGATTGCTTGCGTCGTCTTTGCTGGTCAGATCCTGTGTGGAATCTCCTTCGCCTATAACAGCTCCTACTTTTTCTCCCAAGTTGGTCTCGGAACGAGCACGACCTACTCTCTTACGCTTGGAGGAACCGGCTTGGCATTCTTTGGCTGTCTGATCAATTGGTTCGTCCTTATGCCAAACTTTGGCCGACGAACGATTTACGTCTGGGGCATGGGCGGCATGTGTTTTGTGCTCATTCTCATCGGTATTCTCAACGTCTGGACTCACATCTCGGCTGTCGCGATGACACAGGCCTGTCTCACCCTCCTTTGGACTTTCATCTTTCAGCTATCTGCCGGCCAGCTTGGCTGGGCCCTCCCTGCCGAAATGGGCTCGACTCGCCTTCGACAAAAGACCATTTGTCTCGCTCGCGACTCGTCTAATATTATGGGCACCATTGGAGGCACTCTGCAGCAGTACTTTATGAACCCGCAGGCGTGGAACCTCAAGGGTTATACTGGGTTTGTCTGGGGCGGTACTTGCTTTTGCATGTTTGTCTGGAGCTACTTCCGTCTGCCTGAGACCTAGAACCGGTCGTACCACGAGCTCAATATTCTGTTTGCGAAGAAGGTGCCAGCACGCCAATTTGCGACTACCGTTGTCGATCCTTTTGATACAACTATCATTGATGGCATCACTGGCAAAATTAACAACGACGCCGTCTAATTACTTGGTGTACATGCTAGAGCATGAGTTGATAGGAGCTAAGCGTGGATATGTTTAAGGAGAGTTAGGGGTAAGCTACTATAATATAGTAAAAAGTAAACCTTTTATTACTAGTTAATTAGTGATCTTTCACATTAATCATCGTGTCTGCGGTTTTGCGGAATGTGTACATCCATCCTGACTGAGTTGTGCTGTGTAGCCTATGTTCAATGTCTGAGTCAACTGGCGGGCGTTTGTCCTAATGCAGGAGAATGAGAACTTGCTACTGTCTCTCAATGTCCAAGTTATAGTAAATATAAATATCCAAGTATAATATAGAATTTTAGCTTATTGTTATATTTCAGCCCGAAGGGCGTTTTTTCAGCCCGAAGGGCGTTTTACTCAGTCAGAAAAAAAGAGCATAAAACTTTTTCTGATTGGCTAATTGGCATGGTCTATGCTCAACTCGTGCTTGAATTGGTCAGTTGTCAACGCTAACGACGCCACTACATGGGAAAGCCCGCGATCGTTGACTAGGTAACGCTTTTGGCAAGCTCTCCAGGAGCTTTAAGGTTGTCCTTCAATCAACTCCGGCCTCCAAGCGCGATTCTGGCCGGAGCACCGACATGGCGTCTGCTTTCCCTTTGCCGTCAAAACTATTATCCACCAAACCTTACGAGGTTGCTAACGACGTCTCGGCTCACGTATCACCTGCCTCCGGTCGAGCGGTGAAGTGTCCCCTCCTTCCCTGATCGTTCGAACCTAATCAAAACACCCTACAGACAACCTCCCATATCGAGATCTGTCACGCTACGGTACATCTAAGCAAACCCTCGCTGCCCAAGCGGTACCTACCCGGTCGTCTGCATGGGTAAGAGGCGGATAACAATATATGCAGCCGGATGGAGAATGATATACCCCAGGCAGTTCGGAACTGCCATACTTACAAGCAAGACCTGCCCGAGGTCGAGTTTCGAAGCGTCAAGGACCCTGCGAGGCTTACGAGACAGTGTAGTAGCTGTAGGGCACGCCAAAAGGAGCGAGTGGCCGAATCCCGAGCCGCCGTTGCCGCCATGCGGAACATCGCCTCGAGGCTATCGCCGCGCAGAACGACGAAGAGGACCGATTCTCAGGCTCAATTGACGCCTCCACGGCGAAACGCGCAAGCGCTCGTGTCCATCAATAGCTCACAACCCCCTGCAACGCCTGCTGTATTCCGTGGTCTGGCGCCCGTCCTCCAGGGACTGCCTAGACCTCTGCTGGGCCCATCTACCTCAAGCGCAGCGGAAGGAGCCCTCCCTATCCCTCCCACCTTAAGCCCGCCAAGAGTAGTTCTGGGCACGCCGATTCCTAGTGACACGACCACAACGGCTCCTATTGTGCTAGGCACGCCTGTGCCACAGGAATCGTTCCCTACCACTGCTTCATTACTGCCACAGGGTCATCGCCGCGGCCGCTATACACGTCAAGGCATCGTGAACCGACGGCCACGGCCACAGCTTCAAGAACGACAGTTTGATCAGATAGTTGATCCACCTTTTACAGGGGACCTTGATTTGCCTGCCCTTAGTGAGGAGGATCGGGCGCTTGTGCGGGAGTTCTATACTGCCCTGAATGACGACAAGATGCATAGTTGCATTCGCTGCCGGGAGCATTGGTTCGATATGAAGAAAAACAGCTTAGGAGTCTGCAGCCGCTGCATTAGTCGAGATAGGGAGAGAACCGCTGACGAGCCCTACTTCTTTAGCGCTGCGAATAGCCTTGACTTCGGGGAAGTCCCCGGTAATCTACCTAGCCTAACGATGGTTAAGGAGATGCTAATTGCTAGGGTTCACGTACACGTGAAGGTCCTACAGGTACGTGGCTCTCAGTATAAATACCGCGGCCATGTTGTCCACTTCCTTCGCAATGTTGGTAGGCTATTTGAAGAGCTCCCGGTCCTACCTGAAGAGCTAGATATCGTGCTCCTGCGGCCTCCTAATATGGAGGGCGACCCTCACTTCCAGCAGCAGTTTGCTCGCGATTTCCGGGTACGCCGCTCATGCCTGTTGACCTGGCTGCATTACCTACAGCGCCACCACCCGGGCTATCGCGATATCGTTGTGAGGCAGGATCGCTTGCAACGGCTTCCTCTTGACGGCAGCATAGTTGCTTCCGTTGCTAGCCAAGTGGCTGACATACCTGACGGCGAGGCCCCCCAAGGTCCCGTTGAGGAGGATGTAGAAGAGGATCCAGCAGATGCAGATGCATCGGCGATCCCCGATTTGCAGGTTACAGACACCGAATTAAACGCCCTGCAGTCCCGATTGCTTCATGGTACCCCTGACCCTGAGCGTATAGCCGATCTTAAGCATATACCGCCTAACGCGCAGGCTCAACACCAGATGCCACTACCTTCCATTCGCAGGACTCCTATCAACGAATTCAACCGTTCCCAGCCGCTGTTGACGCTCGCGTTCCCCACCCTCTACCCCGACGGCAAGGCGGACTTCGTGGAGCCTCGCCTACAGAGCGTCACGTACCAGGACTACCTTGCCCATGCGATGAGATAGCAAGACGGACGTTTTGCCCGGCATAAGACGTGGCCTTTTATCGCCCTCAACACGCTATTACATGCGCAGGTCAGAAAGCGGAGCAACTACTCGGTCAAGCAACACGAAGGCCGCCGCCGTCAACCCCTTACGCGCGCTGACATAGAGGAAGCGATGGCTAAGCCTGACGAGCCAGAGGCTCAGGCCCTGATCCAGTCGATCACGCGCCAAGCCGCCATAATCAAGGGCACCCATCCATATTGGTATAAGCAAAGGAAGGAATTGGAGGCATATGCCTACAATCTAGGCAGGCCTGGCCTTTTCGTTACAGCAAGTGCGGCTAATTACCACTGGGAGTCCCTATATCGTCATATGCCTCGATTCCAGGAGTAGAAAGCAGCTCCTAAGGCGGCGCGAATGGCTCTATCCCGGCAACTACTGCGAGACAACGCCCACATTGCCGCTTATCACTTCCATAAGCGATATACGCTCTTTAGGACTATTATCCTAAGGCAGAAGTTCAACCTAACGGACTTTTGGGGTCGCTACGAGTGGCAGGGCAGGGGTTCCAGTCACCACCACGGCCTATATTAGCTAAGTGGCCACCCGGACTTAGATCCCAATGACAGCCAGTCCCGGGAGCGATTTGCCCGAATCTAGGGATATCACGTATCCGCTGTCAACCCAGAGCCTCAGAGGGTACAGGCACCTAGGGAAGGGAATCCCTTGATCAGTAATCTATTGGAACATCCCCTTACCGTCCAGTTCCTATCGATGGTGGTAAACCGCGTGCAGCGCCATCGCTGCAACAACTACTATATGCAGCTCAGCAAGCATACCAAGCAGGTGGAGTGCCGCTTTGGATTTCCTCACGGGCAGCGCCTACTAGCCTCCCTTGAAAAGGTTCCTCATTCTAAGCACTGGAGCTTTAGGGGCGAGCGGAACGATAGCCAGATAAACCACTACAACCGCTTACTTGCCGTTGCGTGGCTAGCCAATACAGATGTCTCACCCTGCACGAGCCTGCAGCAGGTAATCGATTACGCAGCTAAATACTGCTCCAAGTCAGAGAAGAAGAGTGAGTCTTTTGCCCAGATTGGGAAGGCCCTAATGCCCCGGGTCAAGGACCACAACCCGCTGATTTCCTTCACATCAAAGCTCCTAAATCAGCTAGTTGCTGAGCGAGACTACTCGAAGCAGGAGGTTAGCCACTTGCTCCTCGGTCTGCCGTTACAAGAGGGCTCACGAACCTGCTTACACATTGATTGCCGTAATCCTGACATGCATTCCCGCTCTTTACGGATTGACGCCGATGAGGTTAACGAGGCCCCCAACGTCTACGAAAAGTACTATCAACGCCCCGAATCCCTAGAGGACCTGACCTATGTTTCCTTTCTCAAATACTGGAATTTCCACTCTAGGGACCCTTCCAAGTGGAAGCAATAGCAGCCAGCCAACGTCAACGGCAGGCCGCGTATATTAGTCTACTTTCCTCGCTATCAGGCTGATCCAGAAGGCCAACAGTGGCCAGAGTACTGCCGCGTAAAGCTGGCATTGAACCACCCACATCGTCGGCATGATGAGCTCCTCATGTTTGACGGCCATCGTTTTAATTCTCACGCTCAGGCCTTCTCCTATTGTTGGCAGCACCACAGTCATAGTGATGACCATTACGGCCGGCCAAAAGAGGTTCGATTACAACCTCAAGAGGATCAGTACGAGGCTCTGCCAGTGGAGGAGGAATTTAATGACGAAGACTGGATCCGTCTCGCCGCCCTTTTACCTGACAACCCCCTTACCCAGGAAGGTCTTGACCTACTTGGCCGCCGCGATATCGATGTCAATTACGACTGGACACGGCATGTAGGCACTTATTCAGAGTTTCGAGACAGCTACTGGAAAGACCTCATCGCTAGCAACCCTATAGCCAACGATGTGGAGGTCCTTGGCCCTCACTGGCGTGATCAGCTCAACCCGCAACAGCGGTTAGTGTACGATACCTTCATGGGTCACTTCCAGGCGCAAAATCCTACTCAAATCCTTCTCCACGTTGACGGCGGCGGTGGCACGGGCAAGTCCTTCCTTATCAAGGTGCTTTCCTCCCACCTTCAGGCGGCTGCCCTGCCGAATCCTAGCCCTATTTGCCGCGTAGCGCCAACAGGCGTTGCGAGTAACCAGATACAGGGCAGCACCATACATTCACTGCTCCGTCTCCCAGTAGGCGGTGCCTTTACCGAACTTCGCCCAGCTGACGCTGCTGCCCTTCAGTCCCGCCTACGGCACGTCAGGTACCTCGTTATCGATGAAAAGAGCATGCTAGGACTTGAGCAGCTCGGGCGAATTGATTCTCGC